GCGGCCACAAAAAATAGAACAAAACCACACAGAACGGCGCCGTCACCAATATCAGTAGGACCACAACACCATAATCAAAATACCTCAGAAGAATCATAAACGAACTCACCAAGAAAGAAAAACGGCGCAAGAGCCCGGATTCAGATAAACCTCACCGGTTTATCATCATCATCATCACGGGAAGAGGGAACCCTAGCAACAAATAGCGGCGGAACAAATCAAGAGGTTCCGAGAACCTCACGGTTCTTCATCATCACCTCCAAATAGGAAAAATCCCTAAAAGCGAACCGGAAACCTCAAAACGACGGAACACTTCTTCCGATCAACATCATCGGAAGTTCGGACGCCATACGCGGATTCAGAGAGAAAGCATTCGCCTTCACCACCGTCATCGTCCAAGCATCACTACCGCCGGCGAGACCCGCTTCGAACCCTTTGACGGTGAGCAAGTCTACTTCACGGTTTGTGTTTTATTTCAGGTACTATGTAAAAAGACGGAAATGGAGCAAAGAAAAAGGAAAGGGAAGCTTTGAAGAACACAGCCGAGTCGTCAATGGCTGCCGCCGACCACGCGAAGAAGAAGGGGTTTTTGAAGCCTTCGGAAGCCATGCAAATGAAAACAGGCCTGTCTCTTTGACTGGGTTGCTGTTTGTCTCCTTAAATCACTTCCTTATACTAATTATTTAACTATTTTATTATTTAATTATTTTAGTATTTAGTTAGTATAGTTTAATTATTATGTTATTAGTTAATCGTTTCATTTATTTGGGGTTAATAATAGTAACATACACTATTTTCTAGGTTAGTTAATTAATTCCCTTTTATTTAGAAAACCGAAAAACAAGAAAATCATTCCAGTAAGATTTAACATAAATTAGTAGTTTTTTGAAATGTTTAGTTGAAACAATTTTAACACCTTTCTTTACTAAAACGTTAAAATGAACCTATTTTTTTTTTAAAAAAAAAACATTAACCTTAAAAGCCAAATTTTTTTGGATTAAAACATAAAAACAATTTTTAAAACAACTCTTTAAAAAAAAACGTAAAACACCTTTTTATTAAAATATAATTTATTAAAAATATATATTTTTTAGACAAAACTTCATACTCTTTTTTCATATAAGTAAAATTAAAATGTCTTTTTTATAGTTTGAACTTAAGATTTCTTTTCCCTAAAAATTAATTTTCTCTTTATAATGTAGTACTTACCCTTTTATGAAAAAATTCAAAATATAAATAATGTCTAACTTCTTCGCTTAATTTTCGTTTGAACTTCAGTTAATCCCCAGTCATCTTGTTTTGTTTCAGCTTATCAATGTTTCTTTATATTGTAAAATTTTCAATTGTAATCATGCGAGACCATCGTCGCAACTATTTATTTTTGGCACTTTTGGGACTTATAATTTACGCGAGTGATCGTCGCGATGCTTTTCTTTCACTGCTTTATGTACTTATTTATCTTTCTCCATACTTTAATTCTGCCATGTAATAATTATGTTGCTTGCATGTTTTTTACCGTTATGTTCCCTCCGAAGGAATTAGGATTAACAGTTTGACCGCCGAGTCAATAACCCTAGTTTTAACTATTTTAAAACCCTAATAGCCTAGGTGTCCCGCCGTGGACGAAAACGCCCTTTACCCTAGCTTTTAGGTCAAAGAGCCGCCGTGCTCTGTTTAGGGTTTCCCGCCGTGGAATCCCTAATTTAACCCTAATTTAATTAACAAATTCAACGTAGAAATAGGAGTTTTAAGACTCCACGTAAGCATGTCCTTAAGATATGTTTATTCCCTATCGAAACCTTGACCACAGTCAAGAAGTTTCTAACCTCCCTTTCGAGGGGAACTACGATTACTCTGATTTCATTCCCTATCCAGGATACGTAGGCACAAGATGCGATGTCTTGCCGAGTAAACTTAGGACTAACCCTTAGGTCTTTAGGTCACTCTATCCCTTAGCTCAATATATACTAAAGCAGATAATAAATAAATAAAAAAAAAAGCATACAATAAACAAAAGGTTCCTGTAGAGTACTACAGAAGTTTAGGGTGCTAGTACCTTCCCTAAATTTAACCAACCCCTTACCTAGGTCTCTCCCCGCATTGTGTTTACGATGCAAAAATAGGTTTTTCCTCTTTTGACCTTTTCCTTCGGATAAATCAAAGAGCGGTTGTGAATTAAGAATTGTGATTCAAACTAATTAATAGTTTGATATCCTATTTCCACCGCAACAATTACAAAATGTTTTTAATAAGTCTCTTTTTTTTCCATCTTTGTGCTCTCTTAGGTTTTAGGTGGTCGGGTTTTCATCCTAAGGCGCTACTTCTCTTGGCTTAACCCTTAACCTTATGTCTACAATCTTCACTCCCATGGTCTTAGTCTTCTTTAGCTTCCAAATTTATACATAGCATTTTATGGTGATCTTTTGGTCTCCTTGAATAACCCTTACTCACCCGTTTGAGAGTGGGTATTTAATTCATAGATACACTGTAGATAAGGTGGCTCCAAGCTGGTTAGAAACATGACATTCTATAATCATTGTTATATGAGGATGATGCATCTATAACCAGGTATTTTACCTTGATATGTTTGGCGCTCTCCCTAACTCTAAATGTTGTATTTAGGGTAATATAACCATTCACATGTACTTGCTCGCCATAGAATCCCACTAATGATCCTTTCAAAGCTTTGAGGTCATTAAGGTCCAAGCAAAGCTGTTGAAAGCATCCCAATAGAGGACATCTGCATAACTCCCTTGATCGATCAACACATTCTTAATCTCCTAATCATCACACCTTAAGGTTATGATCATGGGATCATTATCATGTAGATGGATATCTACGACATCCTTCTCATAGAAGGCGATCTCAGATTCGGGGGCTTTTGTGTCGCCCATATCAGAGTTAGTGGGAGAGCCTTCAATGGTTTTATGAGCGTACCTTCTATAGATGAAATTGGTCTCTCCGCCCGAATGAATTCTCATGTGATGATATTAAGGGTGTTGCGTATGGTTTTCTCTTTACCCTGTTAATTGGTTCCTTTCCCTTTATAGATCCAAGGCTCTTAGAGGAATATCGCCCTTGAGAGGTACTCACATCTCGTTTGGTGTCGCCTCTAACGTATTTCTTCAAATGGCCTTCTTGGATGAGGCGCTCTATCTTGTTCTTAAGTTAATAGGAATGTTCAATGTGATGCCTCTTCACTTTGTGGAACTTGCACCATCTGTTAGGCTCAAGCCTCAATACATCTAACTTTGGTGCTGATGGATGTGGAATGCAGCAAATGTGGAGGACTTCACGCCATATCTGCTCACGGTGAGTGTTCAAGCGCTTAAAGTTCTTTGTAGATTTTTTACTTTCCTTGAAAGTCGTCCTGTCTTTGATGGGCGTGGTATTAATGAAGGCGACATACTCATATGGGTCACCGTGCCCATCAAACTTAGCCAATGAGGGTGAGTTGAAAATTTCTTGCATCGAGTCCCACATATCTCATCTGAAATAAGTTGGGGGTATAATATTTCATCCTCCAAGGTTTGATTCTTGTAGCGTAAGCAACTCACATCTCTACCATGGCATTCTGCTCGCCGTTAGATTCATTATTGCCCAAAATTTCTACCATTTTGTTCACCATTATGTATAAAGGGATCAAACGTGAGGATAACAAACTACCGAATATGGTAATGGTGACCCGTGTCAATTTTATCGGAGGTCCTTAGTGGGCATCAATTGTACTTTATAAAAGTATAATACGTGTCATCCCTTTTTTATGTAGGGATGTCAAAGGTTTTAGGGTTGTTGTAGTGTTAGAGCAAACTAAACAGGGACAGTGATAAGTTTTGTATGTGGTGTTTCTGTCTAGTGGATTAGATTACCATCAACCTCAGGGTTGAGGTATTTAAACAAATCTTGTGGACCTGTGTCTCTGATCCTAAAAAGACTGGTTTCACACTTCTCATTCTTATGAGAACGTGACTATCTCTATTTGACACCATCTCTCATACTGTAACAAACTAGGATACGTTACCTCCACATTTTCATATGAAGACGATCAATTTGAGAAATGTGTGTCATATCCAAATGATAGGTGCTCGTTCTAATAAACTGACAACCAAAAAGTTAGTGTGGGCGACATATTACATTGTCCCTCTTTAATGGACCTACAATGTCGCCTTTTATATATCTTTTATAAATATACCAATACAATATTTTATAATTTGTATGAAAATACTATTATGGCCTTTAAACCTTTAAGTAAAAAAAATCCCAAAAAATTATTTAGTTTTTCAAACATTTACATAAAAGTGTGCAAAAATTGCATTTGTATTTTTTTAACTATGCAATTTTTAACCACTAAATATGCAGATACCCATGTGTTGAGGTCAAAACTCAAAACCATCACAAATTAAAGAAAAAACGTCATTATTTTGTATTTCAAAATAATATTATGCATTTTTTATAAAAATAAAATTTCTCATAATTCTCTGTATTTACATTTTAAAAATATGTAAACAAAACATCTGTATTTTTTTAACTATGAATTTTTATCGTATATTTATATTTAATATGTAGAAATCAATTTGCTGAGTAAAACTCCATTATTCACCGCATTTTTTGTAATAATTTAATATGCATTAAAAATGCATAAAACTTGCATCATATTTCTATTTGTATTTCAACACATATTTATGCTAATTACAAAAGGTTAAAAGAAAAAACATAAGTAAAAATCTAAACAACAAAATACCTGTTCCCGCTTGTTCTTTCCCACGTTAACGGTTACAACTTTCTTGTCTCCTGCCGTACTTGTCCTCTCTTCCTACAATCTCAACAATCTTGTTCAAATTCCTTCCATATCTTTTTCATGGATTCTCTTCCAGGTAATATGAAATCTACTTTTTTTCATCATCTTATTATTATCATTCAGATATTCTCTTATGAATGCCGAAAATTTAATTCAGTTATATTATACGCTGACAGAAAAAACCAAAGATTCCAAACCTAAAATGAAACAAAAGCGCAACCAAGCACCCAAAATCGGCACTGGTAGTGAATCACAAACTCAATTCAGGTAATTCATCATTTACGACACCAATAATGACACATTAACACGGATAATAATTAGAAAAAATAAATAAATTAAATGTAATTGCAATTGTGGCTGTCAGTTTTGGACACCAATCTTGATAGACAAACTTTTTCCGAGATATCGGGGTGCATGTTGAACTTTTTTTGATTTTTCAATTTTGATTCTCTATTTTGGTTTCAGGCAAAACCGAGTTTTTGGTACTGCTTGGAACACCAACGTAAATATCCCAAAAAAGCCTGTTTCAGACAACATTTTCACCAAACCGAAACCTGCTATTCCACAAAGACAATCCAAACAACCAACACAAGTTATCACTGAAACCACCACTCTAACACAACCAACTGATACAAAATCACCAGAAAATCTGAACCTCATAAAGAACAAAAAAAGTGACACATTCCCACAAGAAAATGATTCTGCAGAGGCTAAAACTCCGGTTACATCCTCTCATGCTAGAGGAAAGAGTAAAATGCAAGCAACACCGTTTTACAGTGCAGTAAATTGCAGCAAATGTCGTTTTGATAGGCTTGAGACTTCGTCTTATTGGGTTGGACAAATCAAATTGGCAGAGACGGTTGGGAAACACTTTGTTGCTTGTGGATTCTTCGAGCTTGCTTTCGAATCTCAGGCTGAGGTTTTTTTGTTTTAATCATAAAATTTAAATTTGTTCTTGTGTACCGGATAATTAAAATATATATGTTCTAATATGTTAGTAAGTTGTATTTATTTGATTTGGTGTTTGGTGTGTTTGTGTAGCCAATAAGTAACCTTCGGATCGAGCTTAAGAGGTATTTGTCAAGGCATGGACACTTATATGAGGAGAAGGAATGGAAAAAAGTTGCGGCTAAGTATGGATTATTGAAAGATGAAAGCATCACAAGTGAAATGAACTCATAGGAAAAATGGAAGTGAAATGAGTTTGATATGAAACATCACTGGTGTTTTAGTACAAGTGGTTTGTGCGTAGTGGTTGTGATTGTTGTAAATTTTAAAATATCGAGTTGAATTATTTGCATTTTACAATCTATTTTATTTTATTTTTCACTAAATACATTAAAGTATTATTATCTATTTAAAAGAAATTAAATTATTTTTGAAAGAGGTTAAGAGTAGGGAGGAGAAAATAGGATGAAGTAGGCAGTAGCAATAGTAATAAGAGGGGATGATATGATCATGAAAACAGTTTTAGATATTTTAAATTTTTAATTATAAAAAATAATATTTTAGTTAGGCCTTTATTTTAAAATTTTTAGTTAGGCTTCTTAGTTTTTAGGCTTTTATTTTAGTACTTATTGCTAATACTATGAGAATTTAAGCTGACACCATTAATTTTAAATCTTACACCCCTCACTTTTTAATATTAAAAAATAGTATTCCTATTATTTACTCCATCTTAAATTTATAGTTGACAAAAAAAATTATTCTAAATTAATTTGGAAAATAGAAAAAATATGATTATCTATTATAAAAATTTGATATATTTATTTACTGATCTTGGAGAAAAATCTGCAGTTTTACTAAATTAATTTTTAAAAATCTTGTATGATTTTTTATTGGACGGTAATCTTATCCAATTCTTTACCACATATTTTGTTATTTTTTTATCTTCTTAAAATTTTAATCAAATTATGATATCTCTACCATAAATTATTCATTATATATTTTAATTGATAGATATTTTCATCCTCAATCGAAGTGTTATCATAGACACAATCTATTGAGATGAAGCATGATATTATTGTTGTTAATGTCCATTATGATATAAAAAATAGGCAAAAAGGGACAGAAAGATATGGTTTGTAAGAGAGTAGGATACCACAAAAACTAGAATTTCTCTTAAGACACTTGAAAATATATAATTTGTGGTATCATTCTAATATTATGTTTGTTGGACTAGAGACCACTGCAACAAATAACACTTTTCATGACGAAACTTTCACCCCGAACAATAGAAAATTAAGGTATAAAGGCAAGACACACTATTTTTTTATTATTTAAAAAAAACATAAATTACCTCGGATTTTAAAATAACCGAGGTGACAAAACAACTATACAAGATTCGATTCTCAACTATATCATATTTTATGATTTTATTTGTTTATAGTGTAAACAAAATGTTATAACCCTTCAGTTTTCTATTAAACCGAGGTATAAAATAATAAGATTTTACTATAAAAGCACTCGTTAAATAGACTTTACCATAATTCTTAGTTATAGAAGCCGCCTCAAACTCGAAAGCATGATTCTTTGGGATGGATTGCAAGACGGAAAAAATATTCAATGTTCTTCTATCTTAAACAAAACATTTTTCGGCTCTTACAATCTATCTCACGTAATGGTGTTGATGATGTTGTTGTTGTATTTTTTGCAATAATACACAATTAAAGAATGGTACTCAGTTGATAGATTGCAAGTGTAGAAAAGAATTCTTGCTTCAAATTATCCAAAGAAAGGAGCTTAACCAACAATGAAGTGAGCTCAACATTTGAAAGGAGCTCAGTTGATAGATTGCAAGTTTAGAAAATCATTCTTACTTCAAGTTAAATAAAGAATGGAGCTTAGCCAACAAAGAAGGGAACCAACTCAACCTTTAAAGAGTACTCAGTTGATAGATTGTAAGTGCAGAAAATTATTCTTGTTTATAAAAAAATTGTTTTAATGAATATGAAAAAAAATTTGGATATCACCCAAGATTTGTTGTAAATAATATTTTTTAATATTCTGTGTAAACAATGTATTCCCAAAGAAAAAAATCAACTCGATTTTCTTTAGCATCGAGGTGATAGTTAATATAAAACCTCGGTTTTATAGTAAAACTGAGATGGTTAATAAACATATTTTACTTTTAAAACACTCGTTAAACAAATTTTACCCTAATATTAAATTATACGTAGTTTCCCCCAAGAGAGGAAATATTCACCACCGTCCATTTCTATCATGAGTTTCTACTACAGATTTTACAATGTATTTTTAATATTCTGTATAAACAATGTAATTATAAAAAAAAACCTTATCCACCTTGGGTTTCTTCTTGGCTGAGGGGTTAATTAAGCATTTTTCCTACTATTCGTCCTTAAGCAAATCTTGGTCGTCTATTTAATGTTTATCAACGCTCAAGAATATGCCATTAGTGATTCGCGTGAAACATAAGGAACATCCGTTATAAAAGCATGTTGAATATTGAAAAACTAATCTAAATGAAACATGAACCGCTTGAAACATAAGGACGTTTAGAAAAGTTCTTTAAGATGGATTGCAATAGCAAAAAATTACTTGGGTTTAAGGTTTGTTTTCTTAAACATTTATTTGAGCATAAAATCATATATTTGAATATTTATTTTATTTATCTAACCCTTATTTTGTTTTGCTTCAAAATCAAATGTATACAAAATCCAAAGAGACAAACCTTGCACCCAACATTTGATCTACCCCAAGATTCAATAATTTGAAGATCTAAAATTTAGATCTTCTGAGAATTTAATTTTTACCTTGTTCTCTAGGAAATTTGAGTTTTATTTTAAACAGTGTAATATTCGATGCAAATAATGTAATATTCTGTTTAAACGATGTAACAATTAAAAAAAAATCTAACCCCTCAGTTTTTAAGATAAACCGAGATGAAATACACGTTAGTTTTAAAAAAATAAATAAATGTGTTGATGTTGGGGTTCGAACTCATGTGCAATTAACTTTACCTCTCGGGGGGTTCGAACCTATGTGCAATTAACTTTACCTCTTGGTTTTTATAACACCAAGGTGATAATTACCGAGTTATCATGTCGCCCTTAATTACCTCGCTTCTATAGCCGAGGTATTATGCATTCCGCATCTGAGATAACAAGCGATTTTTTGTAGTAGTGGACATCAAGCAATATTAGGAATCATCAATCATTTCTCATGATGAGAAATACATATGTTGGACCAGAAACATGAAGGAATCAGAGGTTATTACTAATATATTTTGGACACATCATGATTCTGGTAAATTGTTAAGCATGTTTTATTTGGTATTGATCTTTGACTGTGTACATACAAAACAAACAGGTATCGGCTCCCACTACTTTAGATCGTTGGTGTTACATGAACGAGGTTGATTTTTTCGATTGGGTTTACCTATTTGGAACATGAAAGGGAGGAAAACTTCACATGGACACTAAATAAGCTGAAGGAGTTATTCACATATGAGAAGTTGCTTCCCGAGATCATGGTGTCAGATCAAGAACTTCCCCTAATCAATTTCATGGAAGTTGTGTTCCCATCCTCATTTCATCTATTGTGTGAGTTCCAAATTTCAAAAATCTTAGTTTGAAGTGCAAGGAATATGTCGAATCTAATAGGCAAAGGTATGTTATGGATCTATGGAACAAAGATATGTATTCAAATAGTGAGTCTGAGTTTGAGCAACAACTGCAATATTTTGATGTAGTATGTGTTGATATCCCTTCATTTGAGTATGTGAACGAAACATGGTTGACACCCTATAAAGAAAAGTTTATTTTTGCATGGCTTAATCAAGTCACTCATGTGAGGGCAAAGTGCCTCATACTTGGTTATACTTGTTTTAATGATGTCAAAACATATATAGTTTGAAAAATGTATTTTGGATGGTATCGTCGAGTCGCATACACATACGTTATATTTCTTGTGTAAAACATTTGTCAAAATATGTCTAGGATCATATAGAAAGAGCATTATTTGTGTTCTATATGAGTTTGCTCATGTTGGTCAAGTTAGAGATGCATTAGGATTTTTTAGAAGTAGCTAAATATATGAAAATATGCATTTTTACAAGTTCTGAGTCTTTGAGTCGACTCATAGCATTCTTAGGTCGACTCATACAGAAGTCAATTTTCATGTCTTGCTCTCAAGAGAGCTTGTGTCGACCCTACGATTGACTCATATTGTGTGCACTTGTGCTTGTCAAAATTGAGGTGTTTTGCATTGACGCATGGACCTATTTCGGTTTATGCAAAGAGTTATTTCCTGCATTATCCTAAATTCGGAAGATCTCAGGATGATCCTCCCCTTGTTCTAGGTCGACCGCTCGCGCGTTTCTCACAGAATTCCTGATATGCTTAACATTCAAAGTGATTGTAATGTTGTTTATTTGGTTTCAACTTTGCATATATATTGAGTTAGTCCATTCTACACAAATAAGAACAAGAAAAGTGAAAATATACACTGATTTGGTTCTTATTATCTTCATCCTCTTTCTTGCATTTTCTCAACAACTACACATAATCATTTTTATTGTGTATCCTGCATCATCAAGGTGATAACGTCCAAACTTATGATTGGTGTATCGGGTTTAGGTTGATAAATCTGTGGGTTTTTCTTAAATAAAACCTTGAGGGTTTTGTCTTCTAAGAATCTTGGATTTTGGGAGTTTTGCACAAATCGTTCCTTCACAGATTCAGCCGAGCAAAGGTAATTGAAGAACGAGAGGTTCTGTCAATTTAGTAGCATTAACCAGAGGCTTATGGTAGTAAGGTTTAGGTTCGAATCATTGGTGTTTGAAATCATCCGGGCAAGATTTAAAGACCAGAAGGTTGTTTAAAGGTGGTGTCGTAATCGGAGGTTTACTCATCCCGTTCGAAAGACTTAATTCATCTTGAATCAAGGGAAGATAAGGCATAGGCTCGACATCAACATTTGGGTTTGATTGTTTGAATTCTATTGCTTCTCTTGTAAAAAACAATTTGCAACATGTTATATATACAGGTCTCAATTCTATTTTTAAAATTGAGGGCATACGTATCCCGAGTGAGGACGATAGGAGAACTGCCTCGACAAATTGGTGTTCTCATTTTTACTATTTTCATTGCTGAATTTTGAGTTTGTGTGCAAACATATTAGTTGATTAAAATTCTGCTGTGTGTTAGTGCTGAAACATTTTA